TTTAGAGTTTCTGAAAAACTGTTTTTCCAGAAAACCAGGTCTTCAAGAGTCAAGGGGATGAATCCTTTTAGAGTTTTTATCTACACTATGAGTCCTACCTATGAGCAAAGTATGAGCTCATCCGGAGGGTATCAGTTGGTGAGGTTCCCTCGTTAGTTACACGTAAAGATACAATCGGATTTCTCAAGTTACTCGTGCATCACTTGAAAAAGATGAATTATCTGTCTGTTATACACTGATCTCTTCGCTTAACTTGGCTAAAATAAATGTTTTTACTCATGAAAAGTGGCATCGATCACGCAAAAGATTATTCTGCAACTTAAAGCTTTTATAAGCATCATATTACACGTCTATCCGAATAAAAAAATTACCAGCACTTCTTTTTATTTTATTTTATTATTTAACTATAAATTATCCATAATTTTCAAAGAGGTTTGAGCTTTGCTGATTGACAGAAATTTTGGCCTTGCGCCTAGCTTCCCCAAACGTGTAAGACAGTGTTTCTAACAGTACGCGAACACCTTTGTCTCAAAGCGTGGGGTACGCGAACTAAATTGAAAATACGCTCTGTATCAACCAATAGAAAAAATTACAACGACCAAATCCACGAATTATCACGCTTGTGCACGCGCTGCTCAGAATTCTCGTTAGAAGCCCTGATGTAAGACCCTAGACTAGAGTCAAGGGAGAAGTTCTGCAAACAAAAATCCATCTTTTTTTTCTATTTACATCGATTGTTCGAGTACAAAAATGGCAACTCAAGCAATAGCCACACTTCTTGGCTGTTCAGACACATCTGAGAAAAAACAGTTTTATTCGTTAGTGTTCGGGATGGGCGTGTATGAAGTTGTCAGTTATTTACTGCGGGTCAACATTTTGTTTGTATGAACCTAGACTTTCTGTCAACGGAATATAGTCATTTGCCACAAATACTATATCTTTTTCTGTTATCTATTCATCGACCGACATCTAGGGTTTTCCGGTATGGTGATCACACTGATGGTCATTTCTCACTCTTTTTTATGCTTGGAAATTTTCCGTCTTCTCTTCTTTTGTGCTTTTTACTCCACTCCAGCCGTTGTTCTACTTTCGTAGCGATCAAGCCTTTGTCGTTTATTATTTTATTGTACAAATTAAAGACATTGTCATTCTTACTCATTTCTACGACAAAATAAAGTTAAAGCATACGCATCACATGTTAGACACAAACACGAATATTTAGCTCTAAGAACGCCGAAATATTTTTTTTTAACTTCCTTCCATCTCACGTAAGAAGAAATACGCATGTCATTATTCGAACACTTTCTCTTTCTTATATTTTTTCTATTACATGCTTGACTGAATTCATTTTCACTAAATTAATCCTATATTGAGAAACGCAACTGCTTTGATGGTACAGCGTTGGCAAAAGTATGTAGCTCGTTGGAACTCAAGAGTCAGTGTAGATATAGTGCAGAAAATATGCCGAACACCCGACAGGTTTCAACCTCTTTGACTGAATGCTTCTTCGGATATTTCTTCGGTTGCTTTGAAATTCGACGTTCTCTTTAAGAAAATCAGTCTAGAAGAATTATTTCAACGTGAGTCTTTACCAGATACTCTTGAATGTCTGTCACTCCTTCAAAGTGTAACAGTTAGCCATTGTATGGTTCTAGAAACCCACTGAGAATGAACGTACTCCTGTAATGTAGAAAAATTGTGTGCTTTTTTTCGAAACGATTAATTTTCCTTTGTGACTTAACTACCACCCTTTCAAACCAACCTACCAGCCAAACCTGAGCTCTTAAAACCGCAAAAACGCATAATACATAGGCTATCAGACACACTGATTACCGTGGCAATGTATATTTTGTTGTCCAAGTGAGAGAAACTTCAATAGACGGTTTTTTGAGAAGATACGATTTTTTCAGTGGGCGTATTAAAATAAAAGCCCTATAGCGCCTTCATTTCTCAACCATATTACTTTAAATTTTCAAAATCCGCAGTTTCACCTACTGTACAGTTTGGCAAGATTAAAGTTTGTCTTCCTACTGCGATGTCACATGAAGATCTTCGAGGATCTTCTGAAAAACCTTCCAAAAGTACTATTTAGTTTTCTGCACTTCTATCCTATAATGTAATGAAACACTACAAACTAAGTTTATTCTGAAACTTTGAAGCAATTCGATAGCCTATGTACGATGCGTTGTTGAGGTTCCAAGAGCTTAGGTTTGACCGGTAGATAGGTTCTCGGAGATTACTTGTAGTGTCAGAACTATGGTAGTTGGAGATGTGGGGCCTGTGCCAGGTTGTAGAGACACATCTGCTCTATCCACACTTGCCTGTACAGCAATGTCCTCCTATGTAGATTTTTGGATTGATAGGCTGGATTGATGGCTTTGGATTGATTTTTGGATATAATCTGAAAATTGCATCTGTTTAGCTTAGTCCATTCTCGAGTTATTCAAAAAACAATGGACTACCTAGTATTTTGAAATGAATAGTAGTACCTCTCATAGCATATTTTATTGTTGTCGATGTAGCGATTGCAGTTCGCCGTCCGATTTCATATGTGCGGTTGAGAAGGTTTATATTACATAAGCTGTAAAGATGTTTGAATTTGAATTTAATATTATCAAACCTACTTGAATCAAAATTCTTTTAAGAATACGAACCTTTTAAGTTAATGTGTCCTTGAAAGCTATTGTTCACAGACCAAAAAGAAAGATAAACAAATCACCCACATATGAGTGCCCATGTTAGTCAATTTTTGCTTTTTATAGGTAGATAATTATAGTCTAACTAATGTGTGACACTGGATTTACCTTTTCAATCCTAGTTTTCTATAAATATGCTCATTGATGAGAAGTACAGAGACATCGGCATTCTTCGTTAATTAGATGGCTGCAATCACTAATTACTTAGGAGAATCAGACACAGTCAGTTTCGAGAACATTGAACCGGTCATGCATATAACATGCAGCATATAAATGTCTTGGTCATTACTATTACTATTAACACATGTCTTCTATTAGTTTTTCATAACTTGTGTGAACGCTCAACAATATATTGATTACTCTTCTCGTTGTTTTTTAAGACTACGGTTCTTGTGACTCATCCTACTGTTGAGATGGAAAGTGAGAAATCCAACTATCACGGAGCTTCACCCACAATAATAAACATCGAAAATACAGAAGCTCAAATGCGACCTTCAAATATGGAAGGTCTAACGTTGATTTGGTTTGATGAAAACATTGATTTGACAGAAGACACGAAACAAACAGCTAAAATGCTTCGCCAGGTAAATGATTATGTCATGTTTTTCACCAACCTCCAGACATGTGCCGAATATATAAAGTCGGTTCAAAACGAAAAAATATTTCTGATCACATCAGAAGCCCGCTCAACACATATTCTACCGCTCGTACACGATCTGGAACAGATTGATTCTATATACATATTCTGCATGCAAACACAAAAATACGAACATCTACTCAATGAATATTCGAAGATCATTGGAATATTCACTGAACTATCAGCTCTTATCGATTCAATCAGAGAAAATGCTAAATTCGTTGAGACACACTCACAAACATATAGTTTCTACAATCAAAATCAAAATGTAACTCGTGATTTATCCAAAGAATCAGCAACATTTCTCTGGTTTCAATTATTCAAAGATGTTATTCTAAAAATGCCTCGAACCGAACAGTCGAAACAAGAAATGATCAGAATATGTCGAGAGTATTATCACGGAAACAGTAAGGAACTGGAATATGTTGAAAAATTCGAAAAGGAATATAGACCCGATGACTCGATTCGATGGTACACTAAGAAGTCTTTCATTCATAAACTCATTAACAAATCCCTTCGAACACAAGAAATCGAACAGCTATACACATTCCGACTGTTTATTTCGAATCTCTCCTTTTGTCTTGGTAAGGAAAACCAACGAATCCAGTGTGAACAAACTCCTCTCAATGTGTATCGAGGAGCCAGATTATCCAGTGATGAACTAGACAGGCTTAAAGCAAATGAAGGCAAATTAATATCAATGAACGGCTTTTTATCAACCAGCCGTTCTCGTAAACTAGCATTATGTCTTGCACGTAAGTCGACAAAAAGAACTGATGCACTGCCCGTGCTGTTTCATATTCAGTGCGATATCAAAGGAGAATCAAGCGACGTCATTTTTGCTGATATAGCAGAAATGGGTGATTATCCTGAAGAACAAGACGTTTTGTTTGATCTAGGAGCAGCCTTTCGAATCGAATCGATTATCTTTGATGACAAGCTTAATCTTTGGCTTATCGAGATGAAAGCGACCAATGAGGGAGCCCAAATCGCACAAGCGTATATCGAACTAAACAAAAAAGATCTAGATGAGGGAACTGTCAGTGTTCCCATCATATTCGGGCGTCTCCTTGCTGATATGAAACTCTATGAAAAATCACAATACTATTTTGAGAAACTTTTGGTTGATTCAACTGACGAAGATGCAGCTTCGGTCTATCACAATATAGGTAGAGTTCAAAACTTTAAAGGTAAATATGATCAAGCTCTGGAGTCCTACACAAAATCTCTCGAAATGAAAGGAATTTGCTTTCCGCCGATTCATGTCAGTACCGCTGCCACTCTCGAAGATATTGGTGGTGTTTATGACTCAAAGGGTCAGTATGATCGAGCACTAGAGTACTACATGAAATCTCTCGAAATGAAAGAAATTTGCCTTCCTTCGAATCATGCCAGTACCGCTGTTACTCTCGAAAATATTGGTGGTGTTTATGATTCAAAGGGCCAGTATGATCAAGCTCTGGAGTACTACATGAAGTCTTTCCAAATGAAAGAAATTTGCTTTCCTCCAAATCATGACAAGACTGCTGCCACTCTCAATAATATTGGTATGATTTATGGCTCAAAGGGTCAATATGATCGAGCTCTTGAGTATTACATAAAATCCCTCGAAATGAAAGAAATTTGTTTTCCTCCGAATCATGCCAGTACCGCTGACACTCTTGAAAATATTGGTGATATTTATGACTCAAAGGGCCAACATGATCGAGTTCCGGAATACTTGGAGTCCTACATGAAATTTCTCGAAACGGAAGAAATTTGCCTTCCTTCGAATCATGCCAGTACCGCTGATACTTTCAATAATATTGGTCTGGTTTATGGCTCAACGGGCCAATATGATCGAGCTCTGAAATACTTCATGAAATCTCTCAAAATGAAAGAAATTTGCCTACCTCCGAATCATGCAAGGACCGCTGATACTCTCAACAATATTGGTCTGGTTTATGGCTCAACGGGCCAATATGATCGAGCACTGGAGTACTACATGAAGTCTCTCCAAATGAAAGAAATTTGCTTTCCTCCGAATCATGACAGGACTGCTGCTACTCTCAATAATATCGGTATGGTTTATGGCTCAAAGGGTCAACATGATCGAGCTCTGGAGTACTTCATGAAATCTCTCGAAATGAAAGAAATATGCCTTCCTCCGAATCATGACAGGACTGCTGCCACTCTCGAAAATTTTGGTATGGTTCATCGATCGATGGGCGAATATGATCTAGCTCTCGAGTACTACATGAAATCTCTCAAAATGAAAGAAATATGCCTTCCTCCAAACCATGACAAGACTGCTGATACTCTCAACAATATCGGAGTTGTTTATGACCTAAAGGGCGAATATGATCTAGCTCTGGAGTACTACATGAAATCTCTCGAAATGAAAGAAATTTGCCTTCCTCCGAATCATACGAGTACCGCTGACACTCTCAATAATATTGGTATGGTTCATCGATCGAAGGGCGAATGTGATCGAGCTCTGGAGTACTACATGAAATCTCTCAAAATGAAAGAAATTTGCCTTCCTCTGAATCATGCGAGAACCGCTGACACTCTGAACAATATTGGTCTGGTTTATTACTCAAAGAGTGAATATGGTCGGGCTCTGGAGTACTACATGAAATCTCTCAAAATGAAAGAAATTTGCCTTCCTCCAAATCATGACAGAACCGCTGACACTCTCTATAATATTGGTCTAGCTTATCAATCAAAGGGCGAATATGGCCGAGCTCTAGATTTTTACAGAAATGGCTTGAATATCTATCAAAGTAAGTTTAATCACGGACACCCAGTCATAGAGAAAATGCAGAAGACTATTCGAGGAATTAGCGGGACTCGCGCTAAATTTCATGGAAAGACGGTCAAGTTGTTAAGGGTTTTTAAATGATAGATTTTTTAATAAAGCATGCTAAACAATTAAAAATCAAATTATAAAATTTGTATGTTTTTGTTTATATTACAATCACTTGAGTCAGTTAATGTGATGTGTGGTACGCAATGGCGTATCCAAGGGGGCGGCAATTGGGCAAATGCCCAATGCTCAGAAAAAGTTTGCCCAATCGGATTTTTTAAAGGCTAGAGTTTGCCCAACGACTTTCGGGCAAAGCCGATTTCGACTAGTA